ATAATTCCCAAGAATCTTCGCAGCAAGAGCTCACCTCATCGGTGATTGATCCACCTTTGCTTGGCGGAGTATATTGTGGAGTATCCGGTAGTGATGAACTGGATATTGATTGCTGTTCATTGATTGTGCGAAGTTTCAATGGTTCCATGATTTTTTGCTCAAATCGATCCTTTGTTCCATGAAATAATCGGCCTAAAAGAAAGGAAGTAAGCAGAATTACAAGGCCTATATAATTTTCACTCAAAAAATACCCTATGCAGACGCAAATTACATTTTCTTGAAATAAATAAATTATTTCAAAGTATATTTTTACGTTGAGTACATTATGCACAGCTCTGTAGTGGGTTACTAGGTAATTTTAAAGAATTCAGAGTAACGATCCCATAAAATATGCCGCTTACAATTTACACCCCTCAAAAAAAACTTGCACAACTTCAACTGTTTTCTATTTTTCCCATACGACACAAATGCCTCATTTCGGCTCTATCGTCGACAATATCCCCATCAAATCATTTACCTATGATTATCTGTCCATGATCATACTGGTTTGGCAATTGTACGTCGTGCTCATCCATTCGGCAACCGCAGTTTTTGCAGAGCTTTCTGAAAAAAAATTTCTGCCTTGCTCCGGGAATAGAAAACGGTCAGATTATACCGATGACTGAATTGATAGATGAGATATATGTTTTGAAGTATACGAATAGCTCAAAAAGAAAAGCTTTACACTGCACAAAAAGTTTCTCGATGTTTCTCGCGAATTCCCAATTGTAACAAATGATTCATTCGAATGGCAGCCATACGTAATTTGCTTGCTGATTCGAAAAAAAAAGATTTTTTTGCTTGGAATACGAATACATTTCATTTTCTTTATTGGTTTGAAACTCTAGGGGTAGGCCGGTAGCGCTAGCCAAAAACCCAGAAAGAGATGATGTTTTTCGAGGCTTTTGGCACTTCGTTCAGACTGTTCCGGAAAATACTCTGAAAAGTTTGAAAGAGAAAAAATATGTAGGGAAATAATTCCAAGTAAATGAGTTTGTTGTAGGATATATTAGAAGACCAGCAATATCACAGAGGTTTTTTTTACAAAGAAAATTGAAAATGCAGGGTCTAGAAAATGCCACATTGTAATTCTTTCTAACTTTGTTACAAACTCCCTAAACTCGAAATAATTTTGAAACTATTGAGCATCAATGATCAAAGTTTCACAAGACATCCAGTATGCTCCTGTTTTCTTAAGTTCGTCGTTCGACCGTAGGGTTTACTTTCATGAGATCGGAAAAGGCCGTATCCACTTACTCCATCACAATTTCAGCTAAAAACAGAATGAAGAATTTGTCTTCAATATTATTGCGCTGTTTATTGATCCATTTCCCTTTTCACTTTCGTTACCTTTATTGAAAGTGTAGCAAAAGATCTTAGCCAGATCGAAAGCGCGAGCGTTCTAATTTGTGGAGGAGGGTAAGCGTCTATGGTCATCCAATACTCCCATCAGCGCATTCCTCGTTTCCTCTTCTACTCCTCTCGTTTTGGTTTGCTTGGAATTAACTTTAGCAGCGCGTATACAATTTATTCCTAAATTAAAACAGAGCCGCTCAATTACTGCCCCTATAGTCAATGCTTCTAATTAGCAGTGTTGTCAATGCGGAATTTCTTGGATGGGGGAAGAAGAGGCGCATAAAATCATAACAAAAAATATATAAAGGGATTGATCTAGCCACAAAGTAGCCTTCGTATCTTCTCCTCCTCCCGATTCACCCTTTTAACTTCAAAATGCAGCATTCAAATCATTATTCGTCAAAAAAAGAGGGCTGGGTTTTTTTTTGGTTTTTCTTTAGAGATATGTGATCGTTGGGAGTTTTTCAAGGTCATCTTTCAAATTCTTTTAAAAATTCCATCGCGATGTGTACATATAAACTTGATCT